TCTTTATAATATCTACGCTATATAAGGAATATAAGAATACTAACTTTATATAAAGTATACCTTTCTTTAAGAATATAGCTAAGGATATTACTATATAGAATAATATCTATATACTAAATAAAACCCTTAGGTTTAGTATATACTCTATCCCTAATTAGAAGTACTTTATTAGGGTTATATTAAATAGAGCTCTTAGTAATACCCCTCTAGGGGACCTTATTTACTAAGTAATTATAGTAATAAGAAAACCTAATAGCTTTAGTGTAGAAGCTATATATATCTCTAGCTATCCTAAGGAGTAGCCCTTCTTCGCGCAAACCCTCTATAATACTAAAGTAGATATAGCTTAAGCCCTAATATAAGCTTAATAGGGATTAGTAAGTACGCTTTACGCTAATTATTATATAGAGAGAGTGTTACTAATAATAGCATAGCTGCTACTAAGCTTATTAGCTTAGTATACTACTTTGTTTATAGATAACATAAGGCATACTAAAGGTGTTAGCTAGCCTAATTAAATAAGAAGACTGTAATAATAGTAATAAATAGTAGATAGTAAAGCAGTAATAGGAATAGTGTTTAATAGTAGTATAAGTGATATATAAGAGAGAGGATAGGTTAATAGTTTAGTAATCTATAGTAATTAAGTAATTAAGTAATTATAAACTATATTATTACTGAAGTGAAGTTAAAGATAGTAAAGTTATTAATATATATATATAAGTGCAGCTAAGGTTAGGAGAGTTATAATTATATAACTAAAAGCTATATATATTATTAAGAGGCGTGGAGTTAGGAGGTCTGTCGCTTTAAGTAGGTAAAAATCATAGTGAACAGCTAGAGGCTATAGATCTCTTACTTAATAAATTAATATAGTATTAAAGTATTAATATATTAAGATAATTTTAATTTATTTAAAACTAATATTATAAAGTTTTTAACTAATATTATTACTATCCCTTTTAGTAATTTAATATATATTCTTATATAAATATCTCTTTTTAACTTTTAATAGTTTAAATAAAGTTTAAAATAAAATATTATATTAGAGAAAATATTAAACTACTTTCTATAATAAGTATTATTATTTATAAAAGATTTAATTAAGTTCTTAATATTTTTAATAAGATCTTAAGTAAAACTTTATTTAATAAACTAAATATCTAATAACTTATAAATTATTTATAAACTATTATTTACTAATTATAGTTTTTATAACTTCTTTTTAAACTTTTTATTAATATTATATTACTTATTATAGATAGATATAAACTACTTAATAAAGTTAGCTACTTAATCTAAAACTTTTTAAAGTGAATTTAATATTACTAATAAGGATAAATAAATTAGAAGTATAATATTTAGTTAATAAATATTTAGAAAGTTTAATAATAGAAGAATTAATAATAAATATTATAAGATATTTATATATAGCTAATATACTAATAGTAATAATATTAGTAATAATAATTATATATATAAGTTAAGATATTAAAAATAATAATCTAATACTTCTATATTACTATATATATTAATAATAGTATTATTATTAGTATTAATTAGGTTAGATTTTAACTTTAATAATAAAAGTATAGTATTTTTAGCTTTCTCTTTTATTATTACTATTATTTCTTAATTATTATTAACTTTAATAATATTCTTATTTCTCTTATTTTAATATTTCTAATTTTCTATAAACTAATTATAAAGAATATTACTAAGTAATTCTTTAGATAGTTTTATATTATTAATATTAGCTTATTTAGTTATAATAGTTTTTATTTATTTCTCTATATAGTAAAATTTAATTTTATAATACTTTTAGTTTAATATATAGTATTAGTTAAACTTTTTATTATTTAAACTATTTTTATATCTTTAATACTCTAAGTAAATATATATATAAAGAAGTTATTTATATATATTTTCTTTTTAATATTTAATATTTATAAGATTATTAGTTTTATAATTAATTATTTTTTATATATTAACTAAAATACTTATTTAGTTACTTTTTTAAAGTGTTTATATACTAATTACTATACTATTAGAGATTAATATAATACTATATTACTACTTAATAGTAAAATAGATTTTACTCCTCTCTTTAACTTATTTAAAAAAAAGGATAATATTAACTTATAAAATATTTAGCTAAATAACTTCTCTAGTAAATAGATAGACCTAAGTAAAAATTAATATTAGTTTAAATATATTAATAAACTTCTTTTAAGTAATAATAATAATAATATTAGTTTTTTTTATAATATATAAATAAGTTATTTTTACTTTAAATTAGATATTACTATCTACTTCTTAATCTCTATTATTTATATTTAATATAAAAATAATACTAAATCTATTATATATAATACTTTTAATAATTAGATTAAAAATAAATAAATTATTATTTTTAAATACTAAACTATAAATAACTTAGATTTATAATAAAATTAATTCTTTATTATTTATATTATCTTCTTCTTTAAATATATTATAGAATAATATAAATATATTATTAGTATTATAATAAAAAGCTATAAATATATTATTTATAAATTAAATAGTTTAATAAAAAGTTAGGTTAATTAAAGTTAAATTTAATTAAAATAGTAATATTAATAAAAGTAGAATATTTTAAAACTAAATTATATATAATAGATTTCTTTTTTATTTCTTTTATATTATTATTACTTTTTAATAAAAAAATATTTTTAAAACTTTTTATAATAATAAAAAAGCTATAAATATATATTTTTTTTATAATATAAATTTAACTACTATTAAATTATTAATTTTAAGTTTAGTTTTAATAATAATAACTTCTTTAGTAGCTTCTTTAATAATTTCTTTAATAATAATAGTTTAATAAACTTTTTTAATAAATATAATAATTTTAATTAATAATAAAATAAAATATTAAAAAGGATCTCTAATAATATCTTATACTAATTATTATATATATTATTATTTCTATATATTATTAGTAATAAATAATAAATAATACTTAAAAAAGTTATTATCTACTTATTAAACTATATAGTAGCGTTTAAAAAGTATTATAATACTTTTAGATAATAAGATTTAATAGAAATAAATTACTTAAAACTATTAGAATAAGTTAATTACTATACTATAAATATCTATATAGTATTAGGTAAATTTTTATATATATATAGGGATTATGCGTACGTAATTTCAGTAAAAAGGGGGGGCGGACGCTGTTAACGTAACGGAGTGTAATTCGACCCGCTCGCCCCTACGCAGTAGACGCGCGATGTTGGGGGGCTTGGAGAAGATGCACCGCCCCTTAACGGCTTCGTGCGCTTCCTGCCTGTTTCGGCGAAAGCGGCCACCGGATCCGGGGGATGGGCTCCGTACCTACGGCCCCATGTGGCGGTACGGAGCCTGTTTTCTCTGGATTTGAAGAAATTCTTGTGTGTCGTGATGGGAAATTCGGCACCTTGATTGCACCCGAGAACCGTGATTTTTCGGGTTCGCGATGATTCTTCACCCGTGGACGCGTTGAACATTACGTCTTTTTTTGTTTTCCTAATTTAGGTCCAGGGTGATTGAAGCCAGGACAAAGACAGCCCCGACGGCGACGCGAGATAACATTAAGGACGTTACCATATTCATCGTCCACAACCTTTTCAGAAAGGAATGAGGGGGAGTATCATGGATATAGACAATCGGGTGCCTCCCGATGCGATGTGTCATATTGTACTAAGCTTAGGGGGTCCCTGAAAGCAGTGCCCATGTGCTCTATCTCTGTCAAGCCCAGCGAGGACGCGTGGACGGCGATCCGGTAAGCCTGATGGAGCAGAAGATCGGTCAAGTCCGCGGGTTCCACGGCGCTCAATTTCGAGAACGCGCCCCAAGAAAAGAGATTTCTTTTGCCAAAAAAAGTCGTCTTCTGAAATGAGAATTGATGCTTTCTCTGTTGACGAAGAAGTGTTCCAGTCGGGACAAGTAAAGGTGATAATACAAAAGTTTTCTCTTGATCATCAGTTTGCCGAAGGTCTTTCCAGGCAAACGCGCAACCCCCAAAGCAACAAAGGGTAGGCATTCATATTTATGGGCCTCGATTGATATGGAGAACAAGAAAATTCTCGCTGAAGATATTCAAATCGGAACTCGGATCTGCCAAGGCTTCGGGAGCTCAGGCAAAGGCTTGGATGTCTGAAAATAGGTTGACGCGCAAGGGGTGACCCAACCTACTCAAGATGCGATGGAACAAAACTCGGTCTACCCGTTCGATTCCACATGAGCATTCGTACCCCTTTATGGTCTCGTGGAGCTCCGCTGCACAGGCTCTACAGCATCGAATATCCCACCGGCAGTCTCACTGGACATCCAGCATGATCATTACGTCCTCGTGGTGGATTTGCGGAGCTCCATGACATAGCCGACTCAGTCTCGGATATCCCACCGGTTTCTTAGCAAGACCTGGTTTATAAGTCTGTAAAGAACTCCGGCAGGTACTCTTCAAATTCAGCCTGCGCCGCGTTCTCCAAGAGTAGATCATTGGGTTCTAGGCACGCAGGCACTGACTGACCGATACGGCGACACGCGTTACTAGGCTGTACGTTTTTGTCTCGATTATAAGCAAGTGGATGGAGAATTGGCTGCTTCGAGCCCCTATGGTTGCGCTGTTTCGTTTGTCCGTGCCAAAGCCGATTCTGGTCGCTTTCAGGGGGTTCCGTCTTGCCCACTAACCGCCGCCTGTCTAATCACACAGCTATGTATTAACTAGGCGGACAACAATGTTTTTGGAGGATCTTGCGAGCCAGAGATGGTTACAATCATCTTGATGTCTCTCTCGGATCCACCCAGTTTTTCTCACGGAGCCCGATTTTCGACGAGATGACTCTGAGCTATTAATCTTTCTAGTCCATAACATTAGGTCTTATTCCTGTCCTGAAAATTAACGGTGGAAGTCCAGAGCGATAGTGTTGCGCAAGGCCCCCAAATTTCAAGTGTCAGCTTTTATGAAGAATCTAAGTTGACCCGCCAGTTACCTTATCCAAAAACGCCATGTACCTCTCGTAAAACCTCGACACTTCCTCCTCAGCAGCAGGCAAAACCGCAGGAAAGCAGTGCGGCAGGCCTCGGTATGCATGCACCTCGACATCCACACCCTCAGCCTCCAATGCTTCCGCATACGCGAGAGCTTCGTCGCGCAGGACGTCGTACCCGGCGCATTGTATGACTGACATGGCGCGGCGTTAGCTGGTGATGGCGACGACTTGTCCACATTCTTTCGACTCACGCGTACGAGGCAGGTCCTTCAGAGACTTTGCCAGTATGGGCGAATGGCGATGGTCGGGCTTCGGCTTGGGCAGGTACGCATCGAGGGCGCCTTCCATCGCCAGAGCGCCGATGACCGGGTTGTCGTTGTTCTGGATGTAGCTGCCATACTCGTATTTTTCTCTCGGGAAGAATTTGGGATGGCAGATGATTGGGAAGTGCAGGACTTGGGCAATGACGCCCGTGATGCCGTTGTCCCTGCATTCGATTGCTAGGGCGGCGGCCTTGGTTTGTTAGTCGGCTTGAACGGGTGTGGGCTGCTTCGCGAGACTTGCTAGGTTTCCTCCTGCGCTGCTCCCGCTGAGGATGATCTTCTCTGGGTCAACTCCGAGGGCTGTCGCGTTCATTTTACACTAGAGCGGAGTTAGACAGAACTCGTCTCATGTCACTTGGCCAAACTCACCCATAAGAGACCGTCATAGCTATCATGCAGCCCACAAGGAAAAGGATCCTCCGGCGCCCTATACCAGTCAGCTTGAGGAGAACCGCCATCAACGACAGCAACATACTTGCGATAGCATACACTGACAACGACAATGTTCTTGTTGGTCGCGGCGTAGACGTTCTCAGCACCGTCAACCTCGTGACGCCCCACGCACCATCCTGACACCGCGTCAGCAAATCAACCCGGCCACATCTCATACAACCAAAAACACCATACCGCCTCCATGCATGCGATACATCAAAACCGCATTCGGCCGAACAATCGGCGACTTGTACACCTTGAGCTCGATCTCCTCCCCATCCCGGGCCTTGAAGTACAGCAGCTCCGTGGTCACGTCCCGATACCGATCCGGTCCGCCCCGGGGCATCGGCGCGTCCGCGTCGCCGGCCACTCTACGCACCGACGCGAAATCCGGCTGCGCTTGAATTTGCGCGTACATGGCGCCGATCGCGGCTTCCGAGGCCGCATAGACCGGGTGTTTGGCGGAGAGGTGGCCGTGCTTAGGAAGTGGGTGAAACTCGGCGTCGAGGTCGACGTATTCGGGCTTGGTCTTTTCGGTCAGCATGTTGAATGTGGCGGTTGATGGAGATTGATGACTTTGGTCATTAGTGGCGGGTAACAATCTCCTTGTGTCTTTTTGTACCCAACTTCGTTGACTGTTGTCTGCTCCCTGAGAAGGCGCATCACTATGAGTACCTTCATGCAGCTAGGGATGACCCGAGATGACGGCAGCAAGCCACGAGGATCGGCACATCGTGCCAAGAGTATGCGAGCCAACCATAAGTGCAGCATTCGATCTCAGTTGGTCTCCGGTGCTATGTTTCGTTCCACAAACCAGGAAGGGCTGTGGCTGATGAGGGTGTGGTCACTATGATTCATCCCCGCTATGCCGAACTGGGAACAGTGCGTGCAGTGAGTTGCACATTTGGGCTGCAAAAGGGGTTCGATGAACTTCGCAGCGTCCAATGGAACCTGTCAAGCCTGTGTGTAAGAAAAGGAATGGTGAAATCTTGCTGTTTTCGGGACATCGAAGTCTCAGTCGGCGTGTGGCTCCGGTCGTCGTGATCCATCGGCGCCGGGTCCTTTGCTCGACCCGCTTCGCCCGACTCGTTCTAGAGCTGTTGGCCTTTCTAGAGTGAAAGGAAGAATATATGATTCGATTTTCGGTAGCTTGCGCACCGAAGCAAGGTTCATTTGGTTTCGAAGACACCCATGACAGTCATGAGGGTTTCTCGTCTTCCAGAGATACCGTGATGGAGGTTGATACCCGGTCGGAAAACCTTCCAGGTTTGAGACAGATCGTATCTGATGAATGCTACGGCGAGAAACGTCGAACAATGTGCAATCAAGAATATACGGTCTGATGTAGTCAATATTGATCCGCTGAGTACCCTACGAAGACGTTCAAATTTCAGACGCAAATGCGACACGCAGTAACGTACACCAGTATACAGACGGACATGAAGTATAGGCACAAACTCGTCAGACATAACTCATGCTTCCACAGATATCCAAATGCAAATGCACGCCAAAAAACAAAACACACCGAAAACGCAAAATGCATGCAGCGGACATGCAAAACGGGCCAATTCACATTCACACATTGCACACTATCCTGACATCAAGGTAAGGACACATGGTCGGGGGAGAGGGAAGGGGGGCTTTGGTAGGGCCAAGCTTGGAGCTCGGCTACACGTTGTCGCTGTCAAACGGACCAGCTCAAGGGGGGGAGGAGCTTCCAGAGCTTTGCTGCTGCATCGCCTCGATGAGAGCAGTGAGCTTGTCAATCTTCTCGTTGAGCTCCGTGATGCGGACCTCAACGGCAGATGGGGCATCGGCCTCATCGATGTCGGCGGCACGGGTAGTGGGCCTCGAGTGACTCCCGTTGCGGCGGTATGGAGAACGACCAGGTCGGTAGCCCGAAGACGGGCGGTTGGCCTGCAGGGCGTTCCGGGTGTTGGGCTTCAGAAGACCCGTCGCGGCGCGAGGTCCCTTAAAACCCGCATACTCGTCGGGGAGGACGCGACGGCGGACGCTTTCGTAGAGTTGAATGACACCAACGATGGGTAGATGAGTGGCCTTCAGGAGGAGGATGCGGCCCTGGCGGAACTTATCGTCGGAGGGGAGGAAGAGGCGCAGAGGGCGGAAGATGACGAGGGCGATGAGGTTGAACGGCGGGTAGAAGTGTGTGAGCCGGTTGCTAGTCGAGGCCTCAAGCACGTACACGCTGTACACGTAGAGGTACTCTTCCTTGGCATGGGTGATGACACGGGAGAAGCTGTTGGACAGCATACCAGTCAGGGAGCCCATGAGGAGGAAGGTACTGAGTATAATGAAGATGATCATGAGAGTCGGGCCGAAGATCGGGTTGATGTCCTCCATAATCTCGATACCGACGTAGGAGGAGCCGAAGAAGATCTTTGTCAAGATCATCGTCATGTGGGAGAAGTTGTAGGCGTCCTGGCCGATGAGGGAGAAGGTGGTCAAGAAGCCAAGGTAGATGATGACGACGAGAACCATGAACTTGATGAAGTCCTTGCTCATCTCCTTCAGGCATGGGATCAGAGTACCCCAGTAGGGTGACAAGCTGAGCAGGGAAAAGACACGCGGGACCATGAAAAGGGCCTCGAGAGCAAAGACGTCAAAAGCGAGATCGGTGATTTCCCTGTCCTGGTTGGTGATGCCAATAACCCCTGTAGCAAATTAGCAGCCGCGCAGCGCCTTGTTGATTGTTTACTTACTCAGAACAGCAAAGGCAATACCAATGCCAATCATGATCATGTCAAACATGTTCCAGATGTCGGTTGCGTAGAAGATCGTGCCAGCATCCGCCCACTCGCTCAGCTCATCGTAGAGGAAGGCAGCCAGCCAGAGGTACAGTACGATTTCGTTGTGAGTGATGCGCTCAGTATTTTGCTGGACCAGCACGGAGTAGTAGAGAACCAGGAAGATGAGGAAGAAGAAGGCCTCCCAGGCCTTAAGGTACTTGGGGACTCTCAAACGAGAGAAGATGTCGGTGGTGTGGGCGTTGTAGAAACGGGGCTTCTTCTCGGCATGGACAGAAAGACTGTCCCAGAAGATGATGTCTCCATTCCAGATGCCAGTGACAATCTTCTGCACAACGTGCTGGCTGAGGAAGCGCTTGGCATCGGCGACAGCCGCAATCTCAAGAGCGTTCAGGTTGGTGAAGGGGCCGGTCGGATCATCATCTTCCTGGCCATCTTCATCAGCGTGCATGCTCATGGTGAGCCTGGACAAGGAGGACAGCAGCTGATAGCGCTTGGCACTGCTTCCAGGGCGGACCGAGGCGCGTCTGCTGTTAGAGCCGGACCAGCTACCGCCAGAGAGCAGAGGCGAGTTCTCGTTGCTCTCCAGGTCGACATTTGGCGGCGGCGTCTCTGCCTGCTTTGGGTCGGGAATCTCATAGAGACAGTAGTCAACGGCCTCGCGCTCCGATAGGCGGGTGAGGAAACGCCAAGCGACAATCTCGCAGGCGTTGGCGCGGGCTTCACAGAGACCCTTGTTGGACTCGGCCTCGTCGGCCGCATAGTGCCATTTCAGGGCGCTGGATCTGTTAGCATGGCATTTTTTGCTACTTGGAGGTGGAATGACTTACAGCAGGGCGTTCACAATGGCGGGGTTGGTACAGGTGGCATTGAGATGATCAACCAAGATCCTCAAGCACTCACCGGCGGTAGTGGTCCTCAGCTGCTCAAAGGTGCTCGGCAGAACAATGACATCGGTAATGTAACTGCGCCGAAACCGTCAGCGACCGATCCAGACCTTCCGTCCACCGCTCCGCGACAAGCACACGAGGACAGCGCCGAAACTTACACCGAGATCTTCTTGACCACCTCTCGGAAGCTGTCGTTGGTTTCAATGTCGGGCAGCTCATAGACCGTGTCGACGCGCATGGACACGGGGCTCAGGTCCCGCTCCTGCGGCATGGGCTTCTTCTTGACGCGAATGGGCATTTTGCTGGTTGACGCGGGCAGCACCGTGAACCGGGTCCCGGATTGGACTGGTCAATCGAAACAGGTCGCAGCCGAAATGAGGCAGAATCGGTCCAATGCTTCCTGCCGGTGGTCAGCAGCAGCAGAGTGCTTGCAGACGAGATGGATGGATGGATGGTGGTAAGCAATTGATGGGCGCGCCGAGTACTCGCGTCCGGACGGCAGCGAGCAAGCTGAACGGAGGGACGGGGAAACAAGAGGAGAAAGAAGGACCCTGAGGTAAGGTAGGTGCCGCCCGACGACGAGATACCGCCTGCCGCTGGAGGCGCTGCTGCTGCGTTCCATTCTGCATTGCTGCACCGCTGCTCGAACAGGGGTAAAGTGGGTCCACTATAGTGGAAACGACAGCGGGGCATTGACGCGCGGGGGCGAGATAACACATTTCTATTGGCTTGTTCTGCTTGACTCCTCTGTTTACAGTTTAGCGTCATCAGGTGGGTGGCCGTACCAAGAATAAAAAAACAAGCTTCGCTCATCGGTGAAGATTGAAGATCCCAAAACTCATCCACCATGTCTTTTACTGAGACTGAGGCCGAGCCGTTTACTCGCAACGGTCTCATCAGCATCTCACGTTACAACATGAAGCCATGTTTCACTCTCAATGCAAGACATAGTATGACTGGTGCGAGGATCGACGCTCAGTAGAGCAACAATCAGCGGTGCCGAAAGCTCGTGCCAAGCTCATTACCACATCAAAACTCCGATACGTCGATGTTTTCAGTGCCATTCTCGATGGAGTCGTTAATTCAGGCAAAACCCAGCTCTCGGTCGTCCAGTCGTAGTTCGCGCAATTTTCGAATTAGGAAATCAAACAAATTCGAGTATCCACCGTCTAGAACGCAAACCAACCTCGTACGCATTTGTGAGTGATCTGCCATCTCAGCCACGTGGAGAGTAGCTCATCTCAGCCCTCCAGCTGGGCCAGAGAATGAGACGCGTCACGATAGGGCGATGACCAGCCTCAAATTTTGTGAGATCCTAAGCGCCAGGGCGAAACTTGGCGCCCGAGAAACGCATCTCATGTCCGTTCTATTCAATCGGGACTTTGGAGGATGACTCCCGGCCGCTCAGCTTCTCGAAGGATTCAAAGGCTTCGCTCAGTGACGCGGCGCTGCCTTATTAACCCATGTCTACAAGCCACACACCAAAGTCCCCTCCGCTGAGCCTCCATTCCTCTTCGTGATAGCGACCAATGTCCCGAGAGTCAATGAGTTCGGAAAGGAATATGTATATAATATGAATAACTTCAGATGGAGTTCGGACCAGGCGAGACAACAAGCCGAACACCTCATTCTTATCACCAACTCTAAATCCATCATGTCCAGTGTTTCTGCAACGCCAACGACGGCCTCAGTCGCCAGCGCAACTTCGTCCCAAGCCGCACCCACATGTACGACGGCGGTTCCAGGACAATATGGGCATGTCCCCATCAACGCATGCAACTCATACTATGCATTCAACCCAAGTTTCGAGGGCAATCTTGCCTTTGCCGTGCTATTCGGCCTTTCCATGATCGCACATGTTGTTCAGGCGATCACTTACAGAAAGGTGC